TTTGTTAAAGATACAATCATGGTGAATTAATAATTAAGAGCATTGTTATTTATGTGTATTTTCTCATCCATTAACATTAATTAACTGATTTTTATATGAGTTTCTCTCTCCAATTTAATGAAATATATATTTTGATGGTATAACTCTATTTGGAAAATGTCACCAGTATCAATAAGGCTAATATATAATATTGGAACTTACCATGTCAAGAGCGACATACAACCTGCACACATGCTTCCGGAAACGCTTGTTGCATTCCATAGCTTTGAACGACCTCTGCTTAACATGCAACAACAAGGGAGGATGCCTGAATTACAATGGAAGGTAAGAGAACAATCTTGTATTCCATGAAAGATAGTATATATCATTAATTTGTTGAATAAATCCGTTAATAATTTTCTCATGTTATAGAGTCCGAATATCAAAATTAAAGGCTACCTGTGTAATTCATTCTGTTATCTCTCTCTCACCCTTACTTGGGTTGATCAAACATAAGTACGAAATAGTTTTATATGAAACATGGTTATGCCAACTTCTAAACATGCAAAAATATTTAATGACACGTTTTGAATATATAAAAGCTATGCCTTTCAGTATTTCACATTAATGACAATTTTTGAAATAGCGCATACTCTATTGTTTTTTTTTCTTTCAACTTTATTTTCTATTAGATATTTCAGATCTTTGAGAATAAATTGAAACACAAAACCATCCATATTTGTAATAGGCACTCATAACATCTTATCTCCACAAAATACACACTAATAACGAATGAAATCCATCAATGCATCCATAAAATAGGTCATCATATTTGTAATCCTTTAAAAAAAATAGTGGGGTTTCATACTACCCTCCTATCGTTGTATCTTTCTCTCAGCCACAAATAATTTTTATGATCCAAAGAAGCAGATTATAATAAATTTGATTATTTATAGAAACTGGAGTTGGATCCTTGGTTCTAGATCCAATTCCATCATCTTTGGAGTAAGACTATAGAAATAGGATATTTATGGTACATACTTCAAAACTTAAAATAACATCAGGAGTGAAGTGGGGAATTGATCTTTAGGATCTATCGTAGATTAGTATATTCATTATATTGTATAAACAAGTTTCAGAACCAAACATCTCACCAATATAATCCCTTTAATGAAATCATCTGAAAACTATTCGGGGTTCTGCTTCTTGGATGGACAAGATGGCTTCAGTAATGGTTGTTTTCTTCTTATCTTCCCTTGTGGTAGTAGTTAATTAAGAATAGATCTGCTTTCTTCGAAATTCGTTCATCAAATTCTGTAAAGACAAGTCTCTCCTTTCGTGCATAAGTAGGAACTTCCAGATTGTATGGTGTCGGCCAATTGGCCATTGCACAATACAATCTAAGATCTAATCTAATATAGGTTTTGGTTGAAAAATGTTTTTTTGCACCATATACAGTTGCACGGAACATGAAAGTATTCTACTATTGACGTCAACAATGTTTGTGGATGTTGTGGCTGAAATTACTGGTAATAATATACCCAGTAACAATTATATCCATTAAGAATAATATTTTTCTAAATTGAGTAGATTTTAATTTTCATTAAGTTGTTTAAAGGTGAAATATTTAATTTTTATTGTAGAATTAATCAAATTTCTCTAAATCAAACAACACAAAGAGCAACAATCGACAGAAATTAAACTCAAAAGGAGGAAGTAGTGAAGATTACCTGACAAGCAGCATCAATAATAAAAGAGCTCGAGATGGAATTGGGAGTGGTGAGCATAGATATTGTTCTTCCTTATTCTCCTATCATAAACCAGCGCACAGTCAGTCAAAATTAATAAATTTGTTTTTAGGACTATTAACATTAATAGACTCCTTTTTTATAAAACAGAAACCTTTTCATTTAATTTATTTCTTATATTTAGTTTACTTAACGAATTAAACTATAGTTTGGTAGAAAACAAAGTAACTTATATCTTTGAGAGAGAGAATTAACGCATACCATGGCAGTACCAACATTAAATTCAAAAACATGTTTTCCTCTCATTTTAGAAAATCATTCTATATCATGGAAGTACCAACACTACCATAACATACTAAGTAACACTCTAAAGGAAGTAGTAGCTTTGTCCACTTTTGCTACTCGCTTTTATTAAAGATTGGTCTTTCTTTGTCGCAATTTTATTATGTATAGGAGGGTTAGAAGCAACTGTGTGAGCAATTTATTTGAAATCAAATATAGAAGCATGACTAAAACCATCTAATCATACTCCATTCTAATATTATGAAATCCCATATTCCCATGTTGTACCAACCTTTTACTCTATGCAATCTCAGTAATAGTGTAATACTATGTCGGAATAGACCATGAAACTATACTATGACATTGTATAAAAATGTGAAGGTAGTATTAACTGGTCATGACTCAAGAAAATACAACTATTTGGTTTTGGTATTAAATGAGTATCTTAAAGCAGGCTATAAAATAAGAATATTTTGAATCTCATGTCAATCTACAAAATTTAACGACCAAAGATTGCATTAAAGGCTTCACAATTGTGTTTGATCTCATGTTGGTAGTTGTTTTCATCATAAGTTCATGGCCATTAGAGAAAAAAAAAATATTGAACCCTTGCTACCCAAATAGCTAACTCAATTTATAAGTTATTTGGAAAAACATATGGAATAATGAAAAAGGTTTTTTCGAAGAACTTAAATATTAGGATCTTCCTTGACGATTTGTTAATAGGAACATACAATTATAGCAATAAAATTATAAATTTGGTTCAACATCCGGCTTCTAAGATAAGACCAACTAAGATTCCAATGTTTCAAATTAAATAAAAAGAAGATCATTTTGTCAAGTGTCAATGTAGAAAACAGAATAGTATACAATCTCTGGGACTTAACATTATCTAATAGTGTTAAGTTCTATTGCCTGTTATTGGTGGATATATCCACCACTTAGGTCGCAATACTGTATTTGAAGAGCTTGACACACACTGGGATAAACACATTACAAAAACTATCTCCATGGTAATCTTCTGGAAAAATACATTCAAATCAAGCATTTATCTACATACTTCATATGTAGAAAAAGATGTTTAATTATATTTAATACTAAAATCATGACCAGAAGGCACTATTGCAAGTAATAAACATTTCGTTATCAACATTGAATTTTCCAGGACTCGCCAATCGTCATTTTCTTTGCCAATTATTAGAGGTCCTTGTTACTCAAATTCTATAAAACTTAACCAAATTTAGTTGAACTCAATGTGTAGATATGTACTGCCTAGATTGAATTCGAGTTTTCATAACATATCATCTTAAGTAGAGTTTGTATAATACACCCATGAACAAATCACTCTCATATGTAACTTGGAAAGAAGAATTGCAAACCTCCAAATCACAAATCACAAATTTTGCAGTTAACATTATCGAAACTCACCATTTGTTTACTAACATAAGGTTGTATCATCATCAATTTCTACGATAAATTGTTTGTCTTAAGGAACTTCATTCTTTGTTGTGAGTTGGCATGTGGCTCAACGATAGCACCCCTCTCTCAAAGTGGAGAGGTTGTGGGTTCGAGATGTATCAACAGCTCATTGTTGATATAAAGTTTCGCCACGTAATTTATAAGGGGTAGGGGTCCCCTTAACCCCGCTTGCCTTCCAAAAAAAACTTCATTCTTTGCTTAAATATCTTTTCCTTGATCCTTTCTGCTACCTAACTGCCAAACTCTATCAAAATTAGGTAGCCAGTTAGCATCACAATTGATGTTGATAATTTCTCTCTTCGCTTCCCCATCGCTAGTTCCATCTTCCACTTCTTCGCCCAAGCAATTCCCACTCTATTTGGATTCAATTTTTGAGACTTTCCAAATTTTCTAGAACCATTCTTATTATTCAGTGTGATGTATACCATTTAATTGAGTTTCTTAATATTTTTCAAACCACGATGAAGGTTCTTCAGATGAAAATTTGCTCTACACTCCTCAGAAAGCATTGGTTTAATTTGTGTGAAGGCCTGCAACACTAAACATAAGTGGAAAAAAACATGAACATAACAATATTAATGGAAGTGCGATAATCATACACTATCCAAAATTCCATAACTGCAACCCAGACACCCAAAGACAGACATATATAGATGACTTGAAAGATGTACCACCAGAAATGAGTGGACTTCAAACCACATCAGGAAAGACTACATAAGACAAAGTTCTTTGTGGTAAAACGAGTGTACTTGAGACTCCATCTCCTGGTCAGCCCTGTGATGCATCTTATGCAACACTTAAGAAGAAAGATCGTTAAAACAAAATAAAAAGGTAGTAAGTAACCAATGACAATCAAGGTTGACGTCCGTTTATAAATATATGGATCATAACCTATGCCAAACTGTTGTTGGTAGTCTCTTATTTGGAATCAATTATTTTAGCTCAATATACTTTAAATCTCAATTGCTAATATCAATTTAAACTTCAATTGAGTTAGACATATCCAACTATCCAAGTGTTTGACTCATTGCTAAGATCAGCTTTCGCAGTTGGTCTATTTTTATTGATAAGCTAGTGGTCTAACAAAGTCATCTGTGAATGTGTAAGATGCCTTAACATATTAAATTTCAATATATAGTATTTGGATCCTTATCAATAT